AGATATCAATTGTTACCAATTGTTGAAAAATATATGAAAATGTTAAGCTCCCCCTTTTTCATTAAGAAATTGAATTTTTCAAACCAAATTTCTCCCCCTTTTTGTTATATAAAAAATAATTCAATCTTTAAAGTTCTAAAATAACATTGGAGAGTAAGTGATAAATTTAACATTTAAAAATCATTTGAAAATTCAAATCTCCCCCTCAAAAGTGCATTTCAAACAAAATTTAGCTTTAAAAACTTGACACTTAAACAAAATTAAATTTCAACAAAGAATAACAAACATATTAGTAGTACATGAAATTCAATATATCCAAGTCTAAAATACTTTATGCAATACCAATAGTTGAAATTAAGTACATATGCATAAAGTTTTATAAAAATGTTATGCATTTGAAAAAAAATTGATATCAATTGTTAGAGAGATATCATTTTTCATTTAAACCACATGCATAAACATTTAAATTTAGGTCAAAAATTTAAAATTTATAAAATCAAAGTATTTGAAAAGTTGATATCAATTGTTAGAGAGATATCATTTGCATTTAAAACCAATTTTGACCAAAATTTTATTATGATGAACTAAAATTTTTGAAAAATCATTAAAACTTTAAAATGTTCATCATAAACATATTTTCAACATACATGAGATTAAACAATAATACATAATCATTTAAACCAAAAACACATGCATGCTTAAAATCAAATGAGCAACCAACTAACCAAAATTAAAAACATTAAGCTTAGAGGTTACCCATCCCTTTTTATGTGTGGCTAGAGCATCTTGAATATCATCATTTTCATCACCATTGCTCCCACACACCTACAAGAGACATTTAAGTAGATTTTGGTATCCAAATTTCTTTGGATCCTTGAACGTTAGTTTCAATGCCCCTTTTTCCTTTCGGAACCCATGCTTGCCTAATTTTAAAACGTTTTCCTTTTTTTAAAGGACAAGTATGTTCCAAATGACAATGTGAGCATGTTTCCATTTTTAAACATAATAAGTTGTTTTTAGAAATTAATTCATTTTTTTTTGTTAAGCTTTTAAGCTTAACTTCTAACTCAAATTTTTCCTTTTCTAAATCATTTATTTTGATTTTTGAAAGCTCTAAATCATTTTTCAAAATTTCATTTTGATTTTCAAAATCAACTATCTCTTTCAAAATCGATTTATTTTCAATTTTGAGTTTTGAAATTAATTTCGTATATTTGGAATTCATGGTCTCAAATCCCAAATACAACATATTATAAGCATCTTGTAACTCATCAAAAGTAAATGAATTAAATTCATTTGAGTTAGAAGATACCTCGAATTCTTTATGAGTGACCATTAGGCATAAGTTGACTACTTCATCATCATTGGAGTCATCTTCATCACTCCAAGCTGCCACATATGCCTTATTCTTGGAAGATCCATTCTTTCTTAGAAGGGGACAATCATACTTGACATGTCCTGTTCTTTGACAATTAAAGCACACCAGGGGACTCTTCTTCTTGGTTGATTCATGCTTTACTTCCTTAGAAGTCATGAATCTCTTTAACTCTTTTAAGAGCTTGACCATCTCATCTTCTTGTTCATAATCATCTTCATCCACCTCGTCACTTGAATCTTGATAGCTTTCATTGGTGGATTTGAAGGCAATGCCTACCTTATTCTTCTTCTTGTTTTTCTTCTCTTCATTTTCTTCCTCTTCCTTCAACATCATCTCATGAGTGAGAAGAGAACCAAATCAATTCATCGAGAGTGAGAGACTTTAGGTCTCTAGCTTCGATAATGGCGGTCTTCTTTGATTGCCACGAACTTGGAAGAGAGTAGATCATCTTCCCTACAAGCTTCTCATTAGGGATTACTTCTCCAAATCCCCTGAGACCATTGACAATCACGAAAAATCTATCCGTCATAGCTTTAATGTCTTCATCGGGTTTCATTTTGAAGTTCTCGTAGCTATGGTTGAGAAGACTTTTCTTTGATTACCTCACTTCGTCGGTTCCTTCATGAGTGACTTGGAGCTTATCCCAAATCTCTTTGGCACTGGAACAAGATGAGATTCTTCCATATTCATTTGGGCCTAAAGCACACAAGAGAATATGTATAGCCTTAGAATTAAGGTGGAACTTTTTCTTCTCTTCATTACTCCAATAGTCGTATTCACCGGGTGGAGTGGAGTAAACCCTCGTGATTGAGTTCCAAGCTCCTAGATCGTAGGCTCGAATAAAGTACATCATCTTATTCTTCCAATGGGAATAATTTGCTCCATTGAAGAAGGATGGCTTGTTGATCGGTTGTGAATCCATAATAAGAGAATCTTCAATGTAGTAAGCACCGGAGGTTGAAGTCATTTCTTTGTCGGTTACATCGGAAATCGGTAAGAGCTTCTTCTAGGATCGTCTCAAGGTGGTTAAACCTTCTAGCGAGTTAGGCTTTGATGCCAATTGTTGGGATTTGCAGAAGCTTTAATCGACAACCGAAATGGTTTACAAAGAGGGGTTGGAACGATTTTTGTGTTTAGGGAGTAAGGAGATTGAAAGATAGAGAATTGCATAGTGATTTATAGTGGTTCGACTTCTCAACCAAGTCTACATCCACTACCTTAGCTCCTCACCAAGGATTTTCCAACAAATTCACTAATTTGTTCTTTCTTTTTAAGGACAAAGAGATAACCTTTACAACTCCATAGTTTTTCACGGGATAAACTAGAACCGTTCCCTAGCTTTTACACGGGCTTAACTATAACTTTTCCCCTTTACAAAAGGATAAAAGAAGTAAACAAATAAACCTCTCAAAGGTAGGTGTTTACAAGAATTAAGCTCACAAGAACAAATATTTACAACAGAAAAGAAAATAAGAATAAAAAAACTATTCTCTCATATTTAATTGCTTGGATTATTGTTCTCCTATTTCTTCAAGTGTCCTCAGCTTGTATTTATAGCTTGGAATGTGTTTGAAGTAATGTTTTTAAAACCGGACTGGACATTGAATCGGTGAAGGTACTGGTTCACTAGTTCAACCGGGTTATATAAAATAATTTTTTTTTAATTTTACATAATACTCAAAGCAATATTAATATATATGTAACACTTTTTTTAAGTTTACAATATTAAAAGGTATAAAAATATCACAAGTCATAACATATATAAATTAAAAATCATAAAATCAAGTGAAACAAAATGATTCAAATCAACTAAAACATAATATTTAAGGTAAAACATATTAAATAATAAATATAATTATATAACTATAATAAAAAAAATTGGGACTTAAAAAATCATAACAAATGATGTCATTTGGTTTATTTTTTAAAAAAAAAACAATCCCACATGGCTAAGAAACATAGAAGAGCATCCCAACTTACTTCTATAAATAATAGAGGTAATTTGACATTCAAAATCATGGAGCCTTTTGGTGAGCACATAGCGAACTATTTTTTCGCTTCAATTAAGCTCAAATTTTAGGCTTCAATCGAACTTCTAAATTTTTTTTGAGTTCGAGCCTTTTCGAGTTCAAGTTTTAATATTATATTTCGAGTTCGAGTTGAACTTGATAATTTTTAGCTCGTGACTTTTTGAGTCGAGTTGAGCTTACTTTTAAAGTTTTGGAGTTCGAGTCGAGCTCAACAATACTCAAATTTGACTTGGCTCGTTGAACAAACGACGTCGTTTGGTTTAATTTTTTTTAAAAAGAAAAAAAGTGAATCGGCGGTTCAAACCGGTTTTACCAGTTTTCAGCCGGTTCACCCCGGTTTTACCGGTTTTCAGTCGGTTCTATCGGTTTTCAGCCGGTTCATTGCCAGACCAGTTTTGTGAGGTAACCGGACCGGACAGACCACCGGTTCACGGTTCAACCGGTTGAACCGGTCGTCCGGTCCGATTTTGATAACCATGGTTTGAAGTCATATCTAGCCGTTGGGATGATTTTCTACAAAATAAGGCTGCCAATAATAGGGGTATCAGTACCCCTTCATAGGGTATCGGTACCCCTTCATAGGGTATCGGTACCCCTTCATAGGGTATCGGTACCCCTTCATAAGGTATCGATACTCCTTCATTAAATTCAAATAAACTAGCCGTTGCAACCAGGGTGTATGGATACACTGCAGGGTGTATCGGTACACCAATGTATCGGTACACCATAGGTGTATCGGTACACTAATTGCATTCGATGTTTGAGCGGTCATAGGTGTATGGATACACCTGCAGGGGGTATCAGTACACTTGTGTATGGATACACTGCAGGGTGTATGGATACCCTTTAGCATTTTTGCTCAAATCAGTTAAATTTGTTATGGATACACTAGTGCATGGAAACCTTTTTAAAAATTTGAATAAATTTAATTCAAGTCCAAAAATATTTTACCTTAAATTTGTTATATCGAAACATAATTCAACACATATAATAGATTGCAACATTACCACAATTAACTGTTACGTTAATACCGATCTATGTACATGAAAGAGTAAAATTAATATAATTAATTGAGATTAAAGATAAAGTTATATAATTAAAAAGTAAGTATAAAATTGTTAATTTAAATTTATTATAATAAAAATGATTCCTTAATGTTTCAATTTATTTTATCAAACCGAATTTAGATAAAATTTAATTTCTCTTTTTTAGAAAAAATAAGTTTAAATGTATTTAATTTTTTTATAAAACGTTAAATAAATTAGGGGTATAAAATTATTTTTTAAATATATAAAATTTTATAATGTCTCAGATGAAAAAGTAGAAGAAAGCAAGAGATGAATCTCTGACCATTGAGTTGATTGGGTATGATTAGAAATTTTATTATAAATTAGATATAAAAGATGCCATTATTACTTAAAGAAGAAAAAGAAGAATGATCCCATAAAAAATAGACAATTTCCGAAGAAACCCAGCTTGAACATAAAGTTGTGGGGGCATATGAAATGACAAATAATAGAATATACTGCAATGATATGAGATAAGATCCAATTATTTAAAAGGATAGGACATACCATTGGAGGTGTTGGTGGCCAAATTGATGGAGATGAAAGCTTTAAAAAAAAGTTTATATAAAGAAAACATTACTTAAAAAACAAACCCATCAATTATTTATGAAGATCAAGGTACCCATGTCTTTTGATTTCTTGCTCTCTTCCTCTTTCTATCATTCATTTATTTTCTCTGAATTTCATAGGGTTTGTTAGTTGTGATGCAGAGATATCTCTGGCATTCCCTTGGAAATCAATAAGCTCAAATTTGTGTTTGTCTTTCATGGCCATTTCCTTGATTCCTTGAATCGTTTCAGAAGAATTTCCAAAACCATTATTTTTTTTTCTGGGTAAGGGTCCTCCTTTTCTTTTGATTGTATACATATTTATGTATTTTCTATATGGGTTCGTGCATTTATATCTTCAGTTCCGGTTGAAAATTCCTTTCTCCATCTGGGTTTTATCTTTGTATTCAATGATTAATATATCGTGGATCTGTTTTGCCTGTTTTACATTTTTTTTTGCTTTGCTTTTTGTCAGAGTTTAAACGAGTTAAATGTGATTTTAACAAATTTGTGTATATTTGACATGTAAATATGGTTCTTTTGTTTTGTTTTAATTTTTGTTTTGCATTCAACAAACGAGTTTATGACTATCAAACAGGGCCGGATTTTTAATGGTTGGAATCAGAAAAATGTTTTAGTTGATATATACAGAGAATGGAAAATGAAAATCAAAATACAGTTCGATTATCTATGTTAGATTGTCCCTGGTAGAAGCTATTTGAAACATGGGAAATTTGACTTTATAAACTTCATTATTTCAATTCAATTAGATGTCAGGGGAAAAAAACTGTTTTGGCTGGTTAGAGCATTTCCGCTATTCGTGCTTGTAATTGTCAAGGGAAACATGGTTGTTTTTCGAATTCTGGAGAAGTGTGTATCATCAGAACAGAATAGAATTTTAGTATGCAGTGTCTGTGTCGAAAATTGGTGAGTTTTTTTGTTTCATCATGAAGGTTCAGGGGTTGGAAGAGACGCATAAAACCGACAGTCATATGACATCGGCTGCTGCCTTTGTGGAAGGGGGAATCCAGGATGCCTGTGATGATGCTTGCAGCATATGCCTCGAGGAGTTTTCTGAAAACGATCCTTCAACAGTAAGGCCTAGGACTACAAATTCATTTTTCTATTAACCCCTTTTGTTTGGTGATATGGATTTCATGCACTATTTCCCTTGACTTACATTGTGTAGAAGTATCTCAATACGAATTCTTTCTACCTTTACTTGCAGATGACTAATTGCAAGCATGAGTTTCACCTCCAATGCATTCTTGAATGGTACGTTTCGTGTAAATCTCGAAATGATTGTATTTCCATTCTAGTGGAATTCATTGTTTGTGTAAAACTCCTTACCGTTGCCTATGTTTTTGCCCCTTTATTAGATTCAGTATGCATTTTTATATATCAAAATTCCGTTCTCCCCTCTACATTGACCGTCAGTGAAGTGTTTAAGACATTGATCATATAGTTCAATGAGAGGGAGGAGACTGGAAGTGTACAATACAAAGGGTAAGGAGTCATATGCGACGAGAACAGAAATAAAAGATCAACCTCTAGAAAGGCCAAACATGGCCAAATTATTGCTTTGTAAATGGGACATTTAACATCCGGCTTTTATGTCACGAGCCTGTTTATACTTGGAAAGATACGTATTTGACCTAATTATATGGTATGATTACGTGATTGGATCATGCATTTGATTACGAGACGACTATATGATGAATTTGATTTTGACATCTCTATATGATGTATTTCATTAGTTCCATGTTTTTATCCTTTGATGACAGCAATGATGGTTAAATTTTTGTCTAGTTATGTTCTGATAGTTGGAGACTTAAGACCAGGGTAGTTGAGTAGTGCAGTTCACAGCCATAGGGTGTAACATCTCTGTCTTCTTTTTAATGTCTTTGTAGTACTTTCCATGACTTCTACTTTATACATGTTTATGTCATTGAAATGTATGAAGGCTTAGAACTAGGGTATCTGAGTAGTGTTGCCTTAGTTTAAGAATTAACTCATTTGAATTTATTCCTTCTCGTAGCTTGCTATTATTAACTTCTGTGTATCATTACTATTCATGTTTCCTCTTTTTAAATTTAGCGGGGTCTTACATTTTCAGTCTATATGCAGAGATTTCTATATAGGGAATTATTTGCAGGGAATTATTTACAGGGATTACTCCCCATTACAGACGCACATATCAAGACTGCATATGAAGACTGTTCATCTATGTATTTATTTATTTATTTATACACGCATTTGCATCTTATCTTTATTTTTAATTTTCTGACTGCCGGAGGTCTTTCACGGAAGCTGCTCTCAACCTGGCGTTGGGGTCAGCCTACTACCCTACCTCCCCCTTACCCCATTGCATATGGGAATCAGGGTTTTGTTGTTGTTGTTGTTGTATGTTCTGATAGTTGATAACTTACAATCTCATAACCCTTTTATTTATATTATTTACGTTGTAATTTCTTAAAATAACATTCCCTTTTCGTAAATATAAGTGCCTCAATTCACATTAAACTCTTTTGCTTGCGCCCGCAACAAATTTTCTTATTTAATTGGCGACATTATTTTTAATATTTAAGTTGACTTGAATTTGGAAGCATACATTCTTGAAAGGAAGAGATCACAGAATAAAGCTTAACACGAGTTACTTTTTTCCCCTATAAATTTAGGTGCCAGAGAAGTTCGCAATGTCCCATGTGCTGGCAAGCCATTAGCTTGAAGGACCCTGCAAGGTTTTCTTATTTATCCACACATTTGTACTTTGAATATATTCACATCTTAACACCTGTGGAGTTGGCTAATAATGTGTCAACCGTTGCAGTCAAGAATTGCTTCAAGCAGTCGAAAGGGAAAGAAGCTTTAGGGATACCTCATCAAGAAATACCACGATATTTCACCATCCCACCCTTGGTGATTTTGAATTGCAACATGTATGCTGCCTACAAGTGCCTGTCCGAAACTTTTGTTCTTTTTTATTCAGCAATAAACTTTGTATGCCATTCATTCATCCAATAGAATATATACAATTTTCAATTTGTTTTGCAGTTACCAGTGGGTGTGAATTATCCTGAACTTGAAGAGCGTATAATACAGCACTTGGCTGCCGCCGCTGCAATGGGAAGGGCCCACCACGCTGGTCGGAGGGAGGGACAGAGAAGATCATCGGCTCAAAGTAGTCCGCACTTCTTGGTGTTCTCCACTCATCCTGGTGCTGAGGATTCTGGTTCTGGATCGTTGCCTCTTACTCAGGTAGCAGGGGGAACTGATGCAGCTGCAGTCACCGTTGCTAATCCATCTACTCCACTATTGTCTGGAGGAGATGAGTTATCCCAACGGATATCACCATTTCCTTCTAGTCAAAATACATCTGCATCTGGATCCATTGTCAATCCAGTAAACAGACGAGGATTTTCCTTTAATAATCGGTATTTCATTATCTTTTTCCATGCTTTTGAATACTCAATGTATGATCTATCTAGTATTTTCCTTTTCTTTGCAGCAGCACTTCCTATTCATTTTCTAATCATGTATGTATCATCTTGTTGATTATTTGTCTCTCTCTGCAGAAGCACCTACAGTAATTCGTCATCGACAAATCAGGAGAGAAGCAGACCATCAGAGTTACAATCATTTTCAGAGTCTTTAAAATCCAGAATTAATGCAGTGTCCTTGAGGTAAGAGTAGAAAAGTCAGCAATAACTAGAACTTAATAATACATATTTTTCCTCTTATGTTACTAATTTGACGTTAAAACATCTGGAATTAAAGGTACAAGGAATCGATCTCAAAGAGTACTAGAGGCTTGAAGGAGAGGTGGTTCTCACGCAACTCTCCTATGCCTGCTGTCGGGAATGAAGCTTGGAGAGAAGCGAGTGCAGGAATTTCTAGTGTGTCTCGAATGATGGAGCATCCTGAGACTGATGAAAATAGCAGACAAAAACAACATTCTATGTTGCATCATTCGGCTGGATCCTCCAATACAGAGCTACGAAACCGGGATAACCCTTTAAGTATTAGCCCTTCACCTTCACCCTCACCTTCACCTGCTTTGCATGCTGCAAGTTCCCTTTCTGATTAATTTATGAGAAGTCAGTTGGGCAAATCGCATCTATCCTCGGCATTTAATCTTTGTAGGTGAGTCAGGTTAGCATGTTTGCTTTGTATTCATCTTTCGCCTTTGTTTAATTGTTTACTCAGCAATAGAGAACAATGAATTTTTCATCCACCATTCTTCTGACTGTCCAGTTTTTGCTGGTATCGATCTTGTCATGATTCCTCATTCAACGCACGAGTACAGGGACTTGGTGAAATCTGCTGCATCGACCGAACCTGTACCATGTTATTCCATCACATATCAATAAATCTAATCATCACAGCTGAAACCATTGCACCTTTCAGCAGATTTATACTTCAGCTTTAATCTTTGTAATCTATTCGACTCACCATTTTCTATGTTTTCAGGTAGCCAATCTCGTTTCTCCAAAAATGGCGTGCTGATGGAAAGATGCCTTTGCATTTCAGGCCAGGTGATTTGCCATTTACGGATGGATAAACTCATTGTGCTTAAATACGCCCATAACAAGTCTGACAAAGAGCTTTCATTTGCCCAGAAACCTTTTTTTTTTTATGGATATATCATATATGCATATGTATTCACTTATATGTGTGAATTTTGTTTAAATATAATTTGATTCAGCCACCATAGCTGTATTTATCCCCTCTCATATATATATATATTAATAGTTTTACACTAATTGATAACTATAAAGATTTAAATATATAAATGTTTTAGATTTAATTAAAATTTATAATCCATTAATAAATATATATTTAACTAAGTAAAATAATGCCTTTTCTTTTTATGGTTTAAGGTTTAGAGATTGGAATAAAAAACGATATTATTTTATTGTAAGTTAATAAAGTGTAAAATGTATTAGTTTTATATAATATAAGCGGATCATGTTCATATATATTATTTAGTTTACTATTTTTTATAGATATTGATTTGTTTTAAAGATCTAAGATTTTATTTATTTTTTGTTAATAAGTCTTCCTCCCTTCTTACAAAAATTTTGAAAATATTTATCTTATCTCGAACGAATTTTTATTTTACTTTTATATATTTTTTTTTAAATTTTCTTTCTTGATTTATCTTTTCGTCGTTTCTGTAATTGAGGGATACTCGATTCTTATTAAAAAAGTCTTATACCAATCATATTATTTTAATAAAAAAAATTATTTCTTGAAATATTTTAATTGTTATTAATGATAGATAATGATAACCGTTTAAACAAATATCAACTCATTTCATGTATTCTAGGTTTAGATATATTAAATAAGGGTATGGACTTAAATAATAACAATTTCTTTTTAAAGTTGTTATGTCTAGGGGCTGTAAATGAATACAACGCTTGGTGAACTATTCATGAGTAGTTCTTATAATGTTTGTTTATGTTCACTAATTATGTTAAATAAATTAGTGATTTTATTTTTATTTAATAAACGAACGAACGTAAATATATGTGTGTTCGTTTCATTTATATTTATAAACAAATACGTTTATCGACTTGTTCATTTATGTTCATAAACAAGCTCATTTTATACATTGGTGAATGTAGGGACTAGTTAAATGGTGAAATTTGAAATTTAAAGATTGTATTTTTTTATTACTGTGGATCTTATATAAGATTTATTTACTTGATTTTGTTTAATTTCTTAATATACAAATGGACATGTTTGCGAATGTTAAACGAACATGAACATGTTCGTAAATATTTAAATGAACGTGTTCACGAACATATAGTAAATATGTCTACGAACATTAAATAAATATGTTCACGAACGCTAAACGAACGAACACACACCTTCAAAAATAAATAAACGAATATGAGCACGATATTAAAAATTTAAACGAACAAAAACCGAACATAAATACCTTTAAAAATAAACAAACGAATTTAAATATAACTTTATTCTTCTAAACACGATTCATTTACTCGCCTAGTAATACTATTGACTACTTAACGAAATCTTAGTTTTCTTTTTCTTTTAAAAAATCTACTCTATCAGGCATTAAAAAGCGTCATAGGTCGATAAATTTGTAGCTCACAAAATTAAAAACCCAAATGAATAGGGCTGTTGACATCAATTAATAAAGAGAAAATAGTAGAGTGTTCAAACGGATAATTCGATTAATTGATCAAACTAAATTACTCAAATTTTAATTAACTGAATTTTTCTCTTTAATTGTTAACCGAAACAAATTAAGTTCAGTTAATTGATCGGTTAATCTAATTAATCGAAATTTATAAATAATATATATTAAATATTAAATATTTTTGGTTTATTCGGTCCGTTAATTTGGTTAAAATCGAGTTTAAACACCCTAAAGCTAAATAAATATTTAATAATTTCGGTTAATTCGGTTAATTAACCGATTTCGAACCGAATTAACCAAAACTGAAGTTTTAAAAAACTATTAACCATTAACCATTAACCATTAACCGACCGAACCCAAAATTAATCGACCGAAATTTCGATTCTGTCGGTTAGTTCAGTTTTAGACACCTCTAGAAAATATAAAGCATCCACCCGAAAGAGAGAAACAAACGTCATTTTTCATTTTATTTTTTTAGAATTGGTATATAAGAATGGATGAAAACAAGATATGTTTCAGAAATGTGTACAAAAATTTTACAGGAACATTAAAGAAACTCAATTACATGGGGTGTTTGAAAGGAGCTCCTGATGGATGAAAGAAGAAATAAAATGAATGGAATGATGAGTCTCAAACTTTGAAGTGTTTTTGGGGCAAAATAAATAAATAAACCACTAAATAGAAGGATTGTATTTGGTTAACTAAGTGGCACTGCCTTTAACTCCATTGGCAGAAAGGCCCTTCTTACCAAATTCAGGGTTCCCTTTCTGCATCATTGCCACGAATTCATTATAATCAATCCGACCATCCTGCATAACGCCACAAGAAAATCAGTCCAACCCCCAGCTTTTACACATGCAAATCTTAAATTGATATAGGCATGCACAAACGTAGACTTACGTTGTCGGTGTCGACTTCTCCTATCATTTTGTCCAACTGGATCTCCTCGATACCGAACTCCTGACAAGCTTTTTGAAGCTCATCTTGAGTGATGTAGCCGCTGCCGTCTTTGTCGAAATACGAGAAGGCGGCCATGAGGTTATCTTCCCTTTCGATCTTGTTTAAATGCAATGTTGCAGCTACGAATTCTTCGTAGTCGATTGTACCGTTATTATTGACATCCGCCTGCGGTTTCCGAGCAAACAGAAAGGGTCTAAGGATGTTAATTAGATGATGTTTATGACTGAAAATGAAACTTACAGCCTTCATTAGAGCGTGGAATTCTGACTCATCAAGATCAGCGCCAAATTTCTTCAACCCAACTTTGAGCTCATCATATGTGATTTGGCCACGGTTATCTGCGTCTATCATCTTGAACATTTCCTTCAACCCAGCTATTTCTTCTTCAGAAAGTCCTTGGGCAATCACCTGAAAAATAAAACAACAAGGGGAAGCCATTTTAGCTAATAGTCTTTGCAGATAAATAAGAATTTTACTTGGCATCTTTTATCAGAAGTTTCATAGACCAATTTTGTTTCAGAGGCAAAAACTTACCTTCAAGGCCATTTTCTTTAGCTTGTTCATCGCGGAAAATTGCTTCATACGGCTCAAGACCACGGAATCAAGTGGCTTGTCCATAGCCATCCCGTCGACTGCCACCCAAGCGTGTCCTGCAAGGAACCAAAATAAAACCAGCAAATTCATGAAATCACATAGTGAACCACCAAAGAGAGTCATCTAGCTAAACTAATAATCTTAGAATTAATGGTGAACGAGGATGATGATTTGAAATACTAAGAAATGAAACTAAGGCCTTCCAGATGATCCTAAAGGTGTTAATAAGGTCGAAAAACGAACATCGACTGAGAATTAAAACAAGCCTCAACCATGTTATCAACATCCAAGTTCTCTAATGTTCATCATCCTAGCTAGCATTGTAAAAGAGACTTACGCAGTACTTCATGCGCTGTTATCCGCTTCTTCGGGTCCCTGACAAGCATTCTCTTCACTAAATCTTTCGCGCTTTCAGAGATGTTAGGCCCAAGGATCAGATGCAAAGTCAAGTTCACCATGCAAAACCTCTTCAAATATCTCTTGTTCGGTTTCTGTAAACAAAAAAGAAGGAAAAAACCAAATAAAAACAAACAAAAATAGACCAATTGCTAAAAGAAAAGTCTCAAAGTGCGAAGTTCAAAATGTTCTTACCGCCCCAGAAAGGAGGCACACCACTTAAGAGAATGTAAACGATCACCCCAGCACTCCACACATCTGCTTCCGGACCATAACACTTCTGCAAAACCTCGGGTGCGACATAGTATGGGCTTCCAACAACATCACTTAAGGTATCCCCTGAATTTTTTTTAGCACCTTCATTAGGTAAACAACACCAAAATCAAGCACCAAAAGATAAAATTATTTTGAACATACCAGGCTTGAAGAATATCGATAACCCAAAATCAATGGCTTGAAGAGGCGAATCCTCTTGTTGATTAATGAAAAGAAAGTTTTCAGGCTTGAGATCCCTATGCATTACTCCCATGGAGTGACAGGCTTCCACAACACCAACTATAGTTCTTGCTAGATCAGCCGCCTTTCTTTCGGAATAATGCCCTCTCTGTATGATTCTATCGAAGAGTTCTCCCCCGGAACACAGCTCCATGACAACGTGAACGGCCACAGAATCCTCATAAGCCTCTTTGATGGTGACAACATTAGGGTGGCCAGCCAGGTGATGCATTATCTGAATTTCCCTCTTGACATCATCTACATCTTCTGGAGTTACAAGTTTCCTTTTGGCAATAGACTTACAAGCATACTCCTTACCGGTACCTTTCTCCACACAAAGAAAAGTTGTCCCAAACTGGCCTTGCCCTAACTTCTTCCCCAAGTTATAATATTCTTTCAAGTTACCTGTCTTGGTTTGTAACACAGACTCCACCTTCAGCCCCTGCACATGCCTGCCTCTTCACATTATGAGGCTCACGAGGTTTCGCAGCATCAGCTTTAGGCTCTTCCTTTTTCCCCGACACAACGGCCGCAGCCGCTGCGATCGCAATCTGTGATGGTTTGGATTCAAGTCTTAGAGGTTGAGCCTTGGACTGTTGCCTTTGGGTAGCCTTGGATTGTTGCCTCTGCATAGACATTGACATCGAAACCGAAGATTGTTGCCTCTTCATAGACATTGTTGATTGTTGTCTTTGGGTCAACTTTGATTTTTGTGTTTGGATTTCTTCTCCGGATCCTTTCTCGTCCTTAACAATCTTCATCTCTTCAGGGGGGTCCTTTAGGACCGCATCGTCGCCATTACCGTCGCCTGCACCGGAAGCATCGGCTACAGCTTCGGCTTCAGCTTCGCCTTCTTTATTTTCAACCATTTCACCTTCTGTTCCACTTTTCTTTTGTTCCTCTTCAGGTGGAGTGGAACCGCAACAACTTGAACAGACATCTCCCATCAGGAAAAACTGAAACGACTTTCAATTCCCTCACGCCTTAATCTTCTTCTCCAACCATCCAATTGCTATGAAATCCCATTTCCTTTTCTCCTTCTTCATCTCTTCAGGGGGTCCTTTAGACCGCATCGTCGCCATTACCGTCGCCTGCACCGG